TTAAATACTCGTTCATCGTTTCTAGGGGGAATCAGACGTCTTTATACGTCATCACAGGCATTTGGAGCCCCTTCGTCTAGGTTATGCTGAGCACTTACTTAAGAAGTTTGTCCTGCAGATGCGTTATTAGCTTTCGCAGTCTGTTGGCATGCTTGGAATGCATTGTGCTGGAGGAAAGTTGAGGGTAAAATAAGCTTCATTGACTGCTGTGTACAGCAGTGTTCCCTGAATCCAGGCCTAATTTCTTCATGATTATTTTCATGTGACATTTTAGTTTTTAAAACCGTTAAAGCAAGACTTGTGGGTTTTTAGGTGCTAGTGCTGAAAGTAACAAGGATTGTCCCCACTTTATAGTGATCTTATGAAGCATAGACATTCCTAGAATCAATGAAAGGGAGAAAGAGGAGGCCTCACGGATGTTCTATGCCATTGAGGATGACTTTGGAGGCATCCAAACGTCGGTGTATTTCCAAGGACCACATCAAGCGTCCGGCCACTGGGGGCATGTTCTTACAGCCTAGCGGAGCTGTGAGAGCTTCAACGAGTTTTGGTCGTCGTTGGGGTGTCTTGTAGCGTTTTGGGGGAACAGAATCGTTGGTCAGAGCTGAAAAGGAGAGGATGAACAAGGAGGTAAACAGAGTGGAGGACAAGATAAACTGTGTACTTACAACAACTTCTACGAGCATTCGTAGGTGAATCAAGCATTGTTGTAGAATTCTTTGCGACTCCAGAAGTAGCTTAACGAGATAAAAGTAAGCTTTATTCCACAAAATTTACAATAATCGCTGCTTCCTAAGCGCATCGAATCTCATTGCCAAAGTTGCTGTGGCATGGGGTTTGGGTTTTTAATACGACTTGTCAAAACTACTCTCGACAGGTGGGAATTTGCCTTCTCGAAGATAACCCAACAGACTCTACAGGTCACACGTGATGCAACCCTCGAAAAAAAGATTTTGCTGGTCAGAGAATTAATTAAATGGTGTGCCTCGAAATGCGTTACAAAGGTGATTGGAGAAAAAATTTTTAAACAGTGATAAGTTGTACAGAAGGCTTTAACTGCGTCGTTGTGCTCGCTTGAAGAGGATAACCATTCCAGTCTTCATGGTCTAACTCGTTGATATTAGTAGTAATGAGCCTCAAGCTTGTGTCTTGAAGCCTTCTTCCTATCAATCCCAAAGCTGATTCCATTCAAAATTCCCGTGCCTTACAACATCTAGGGGGGAGATATGCCACCCACCTGGGTTTGGTGCCACTGCTGAAGGTGAATGCCTTGATGGTCT